GGATGAATGTATGTATGTATGGATGTATGTATGTATGGATGGATGGATGAATGTAAGGATGGAAAGAAGGGTGGATGGATGGAAGGATGACTGGATGGATGGACAGATGGAAGTATGGATAAATGGATGGATGGATGGATGGAAGGATGGATGGAAGGGTGGATGGATGGAAGGATGACTGGATGGATGGATGAATGGAAGGATGGAAAGATGGACAGAAGGATGGATGGATGGCTGGCTGGATGGATGTTAGAGCATGTTTTACAGAAGCATTGTCCTGGATCTCATTCTGCACGTGTCCCCTGGTCTCTTGCAGTCCACCCTGGGGTACATCGCCCTCCTCATATCCACCCTCCATGGCTTGCTGTTTGGCTGGAGGCGGGCCTTTGAGTTGGAGTCTTACCGCTTCTACCTGCCCCCCAGCTTTGTGGTGTCCCTGGCCCTGCCGGTCTGCGTCGTCCTGGGGAAGGTGTTGATGTTGCTCCCCTGCGTGGCCTACAAGCTCCACCAAATCCGAAAAGGACTGGACAGTAATCTGCAGAGGTGCCAGCGCTTGGAGCCGGTGGGCTCAGCTACCAACGTTTCACCAGAGAGGGTCACCATCATGTGATCATCGGGCTCTGACTGTCCGAGGATTACATCCTGCTTGTCTGGGTTCATGTAAAACAACATCACTGTACATTGAAAAACCTGTTTCACTTCTGGTGAGATGTTTTGCCGTACGTGTCCCGTGTCCTTGTGTACTTACTGCTGTTGAGGTCACGTGTTTGGGTGGACAGCATTCAGGGAGAAGTGTCCACTATGTCCTGCAGCATCTTAGGTGATTCTCAGATTCTTTTAGTCACAGAGGTGTGGATTCCTGTAGCAATCGTTTTGAACAAGTTCTAAAGGTTGTGCAACACATTTTATTTTAAAGTGGTCTCAGAGACAACATGGACTTCCTGAACCCACCTGAATTATGTTGTGGACGTCTCTAAACCATCTGAAGAACACCAGATCTGTGCTTTCATCCTGTGACTTCCTTTGTGATGTGTGGCTACATCTAGGCTTATGAGAAGTCACTCTGAAAACTTGTGTTGCCAAATCCAAGATGGCCACACCAATCAACGTAGGAAACAGTGCTTTTAGTTTTTATTTTGCTTAAAAGTATAGTTTCTTCAAATGATTGGGGTGGCCAAGGCCACCGTTGGTCACCCCCGGCCCCCTTGATCCTAGTTTTGTGTCACAATCTAATCTCCAACTTCCACAGCCTGGTGAGATACCACCTTTAGCTATCTTTAGCTACTACAAACTGCAACTCTGAATGTTCCCTCCTGCTGGTCAATTAAAACGATCTGTAGTTTATAACGTTTGATCTGTGATCTTCAACATTTTAAGAGAATCTCTAGTTTTAAGTTTCCTTCAGACTGACTGAAGACCTCAACCGGGACATGGACGGTCTTTGCAGAATCAGGGTGAGGTCTTCAGGGTGTTTTAAGAACGGCCTTCGGTTCCCGTCCTTGAACTTGATGTGTTCGAGGAAACGTCCAGGAGCAACCTGTCTGGACATGGACTGTCCCAGGACACGTCCAGAGATAAAACTGTCTGGACTCGTACTGTCCTCAAACAAATCCAGGAGCAACCCCTCCAGACGTGTTGCAGTGACAGCTGAACAGAACCCTCAAGCTCACAGGAGTCTGGTAGAAAACCCAAACTTGAAGGACAATGGTCAAAAGTTGAAGAAACATTAAAATTTATTTATTTTAAATGATTGACTCGACATGTCAGCATCATGGACTTCTTGTCCGAGAGGCTCTGAAGGCTTTATCTCCAGGCTGGTTCCGAGCATTCATCTGGAGATTTCTGAAGAGATCCAAACTCAGAGCCCACAGGAGAAGGTTTTAGTTCCCGTCAGGGAGGACCTGACCCTGGAACCCACAGACCACCTGATGATGGTGGAGCTGGTGTTTCAGTGAAACCTTCACAATAAGATGCTGTTTTGTTGATGCAAGAGCTCAGTTAGAACCCACCCAGGGGTTTATCAGATATTTTGCTGACAGGCCTTTAGTGACTGAACCCAGTTCCAAGACATTTAATGAAAACAGTTTTATTTAAAATACATTTATTTCATAAAACGTCACGTCTTACTCAGAATAAGATTTCACTAAACCCCCACCAGGACCAGAGTCCGGACCACCAGTTCTCTGAAGCTGGAACTAAAAAGTCTGAATTTAAAGAAAACCATTAAAAGCCTTCAGGTTTGTAAAACCGGATCCAGGTTCAGGTCTGTGAGTGGACCTGATCCAGAAGGTCCAGCAGGTCCCGGGCGCTGGGTCTGCTGCGGGCCTCTGCGCTCCAGCAGCGTCCCAGCAGAACCGAACACCTCCGGCCCAGGGCCGTGCGGAACACCGGGTGGTCCCGCAGCGACGGCCGCAGGTGCTGGGCCACCACTGCGTACTGCACGTGCTGCCGGTCCCCGGTGTAGGGGGGCTGCCGGGTCAGCAGCTGCCACAGCGTGATCCCGAAGGAGAAGATGTCCGCCTTGGAGGAGACCTGCTGGCCCCGGAGCAGCTCCGGAGCCCGGTGCGTGTAGGTCCCGCACACGTGGCTCAGGTGGGGGCTGATGGAGCTCATCTCGCAGTCCCGGTCCAGTTTCACGGAGCAACCAAAGTCCGCAATCTTACAGACGTCCGCGGAGGAGAGCAGGACGTTGGCGGGTTTGATGTCCAGGTGGACCAGGCCGTGGGAGTGGAGGAAGTTCAGACCCGCCACGATGTCCCGGGAGAACCGGAACCACCGAGCCTCCTCCAGTGGCTCCGAGCTCTCATAGATGACCTGCTGCAGGTTCCTGCTCCCCACGAACTCCATCAGGACGGTTCCGATGCTGCCTTCGTCCCCAAAGTCCGCCGGCACGCACGTGGTGGCCGCGATGACGCGCACGATGTTCGGGTGCTGCAGGTGCGCGGGGTTCAGCTCGGCCCAGAAGCTCTGGCGGGACGCCAGCGGATTCTTGGAGCTCTTCTTGACCTTCTTCAGAGCCACGGTCTCTCCGAGGTACTCGGCCCGGTACACGGAGCCGAACCCGCCGGAGCCCACGGGCTCCACGGAGCGCAGCTGGTCCCAGTGGATCACGGAGGACCAGGAGCGGCTGCAGACCCGCCGGTGCAGCCGGGTCTGGGGGACCTGCAGGCTGGAGCCGTGGGCCTGCTGGGCCAGAGGGCTGCTGCACGTGCTCAGCTCCACGGATGGGTACAGGTCTTTGGACAGCAGGCGCGTGACAGGGATGGGTGAAGGCATGGCGCGCGTGGAACAGGTGCGTTCAGGTGCTCAGCTGACTGAGCGCGAGACATGATGAGCATGAAGCAATGCATGCTGGTAATTTATTCATATTTACACCTCGACCTCCACAACACATCAGTTAATGTTTGGATGAATGCAGATCACCCGCCAGTTTTACAGTGACGTCATGATAAAACTGATCAATGTGATAAATCTGTAAATTTGACTTTCAAAGAGGAAAATCTGCATGACTGATGACTCTGGTTCTGGTCCAACAAGTCCAGGAAGCATTGAAGCAGAGACCCAGGTCCAGTCCAAGGACTGGTTCTGGTCATTTCATCATGAAGAGAACAAAAATAAAAATGTTGGACTGGGCTGCTGCTGTTAAGATCCTACAGTTCTCACACAATCCCAGTTCAGTTTGAGAACTGCTCCAGATCCAGTCTTCACATCAGAGCTGTCTGAAGTTTATTGAAAACATTTGAAACTTTACTGTAGTTTAACTTCAGGATTAGTCTTGTGTCTGAGTGTCTGCAGGACCTCCAGTTTCTGGGCTCAGAATGTTCTCTTCAGAAGAATATAAAGATTTTTCATTTTTTTCCTCCAAAAACCAGATCTAGTTTTTGAGTTTTTAAGCTTCTACAGTCAGAGCAGCTGATGAACAGTGATAGTAACACGCAGTACACTGATGATGAATGTTTTAAAGATGAGTGTTTTTCTGGACAGGAGTTGAACAGAGAATGAAGAAAACCTAAATGTTTTTGGTGCAAAACATTCAGTAGGAGTCCCACTGGAGAAGAACTGAGGGAGGTGTTTTCTTCTGGTCTGAGATGGCACAGAGTGACGGATCCTGGAGAGTGGAGGCAGCAATTTTATCCACCAACAACTGCAGTGGAGGAGCCAGGTGGTGGCCATTGGTGGCCGTGGCCCATGGATTAATCTTCAACCCCCAGTCATTGGAGGAAACTATACTTTTGAGCAATTTACAAGCTAGAAAGCATTTTTTCTTCAAATGATAAAGGTGACCAGTCAACATGTGTGTGTGTGTGTGTGTGTGTGTGGTAAGAGTGCTGTATGAATGTGTGTGTGGATGTAAATGAGGACACAGGTTGTGTTGTAAAGAGGTTTAAGTATCGTGATTAGATAGAAAGTAGCTGAACAGTCCATTAAACTTTAAACAGGGCAGCAGCTGAGGGTTACAATGCAGGCACAGGTGGGCAACAAAATCAGGCGCACATCCAGTTTTTCAAGCTGCGCACAAAAATAGGCAACACAAACAGAACCGTGCATCCTGCTGGCCACCTACTTGCAAATAGTGACTGAAGTCAAATGTTTATTTTTCTTCTCACATTTTTAAGTCTCCAACTTGTATTCAACAATTGCAGCTAGATAATAATTTGTTTTTTCCCAACTCGACTGGTTTGAGGCTGTTAGTGTGTGTTGTCAACTCTCTGACAGGGAGTAACAGACACAGATGGGTGGTTACCACGGTGCCTCCAAAGAGTTTAACATTTCTTTCTGTTGTACATCAAAGTGTAGGGATTCAGCTCAGAATATTCCAGAAGCAAGTCTGAAGTTCATGCCGGGATGCTGATGATGTTTTGTGTTGTTCACGTGAGTTAGTTGTGTTGGTGTGATTAACTCAAAAAGTTAATCAGTTGTAGAGACACAAACATCAACAAGTTCCTGAGAGTTTCATCAAAATTCATCCAGTGGTTCATTAGATATTTTGCTCAAAGTCTGCATTGACTCAGGTCTTGCAGAATGTAACATACGTGTTGAGGGTCAGTCTCTGCCTCCAACACCAGGTCTCGTAATTGAGTCCCCGAGGCTCAATGGGATTAACCTGTATACAGTAAATAAAGGCTGAATGCATGAATGAACGCACAACATTTTAGATCGGTATCTATCAAATTTACTGAGATTTGGCCAATTATTAACCTGTATTTTTAACACCCAATCATTTAGACTAGTCTGGACTTCAGGACGACTAAGGTCATTTTCACACCAGATAGTCCGGTAGACTCGGTTTGGTTCTGGACCAATATTCATGACCTTTTGTTACATTTGAGCTGGTAAGTTTGCATTCACACTGCACTGTGCAGTCGAGTCAACCTGTTGAACCAACCTATTCCCCTGCTCGCCTGTGGGGGCGCTGCACCAAGAACTACTGAAAGAAACGACACAAAAACCTCTGAAGACACGTCTTCTTCTTCTGTAAATAAAAATAAAAACGAAGTGGCATCAAGTTTTAGCAGTTTTAGGAGTTATATTTTGTCATTTTTCAAAAAAGGACTTTGCATGAGCAGAAGATGAGACAGAAGACCATGGAGAATATTGTTTTTCACACAAGTCAGCTGACGGCTCCATATAAGGTCAGAGAAATGCGTGTTTGTTTACCCTGTGGAGTGGGGCCGGTCTGTTTACATTCACACTGCACTCGAACCGTGCTGGAGTTCGCTTCTACCGGACCGAGACTTAGGTTTTAGCCTGGGCCAGAGTTTGCCTTTTTGTTCCGTGACAGAGTTCGATGGCGCGTTCACACCTCCCTAAACGAGCCGGACTTTTAAGGAAAATGAGCTAGAGTTCGATTAAAGCGGACTAAACAGGGCTGGTGTGAATGCACCCTAAAAGACCAAATCTTCTCTGTGGACCAGGCTGGCTCCTGGCTGGGTCACCTACAAGTGAATGGTTGTTAGATCCGAGGGATCTGGAGGGTACATCAAACTGCAGGAGGTCAGACAGAGACAGGACAACTGGCACATCCTGTGTCTGATGATCAATGAATAATTAATGTTTATTTATATAATGATTCATAACAAAGGTTGTCTCAGGGCATAAAAACATTAAAATACATTATAAAGTGCCAGTCAGTAGAAAATATCTATCTAAGGAGGCCAGCAGATTGTGTTGAAGCTTCACTTCATCTCCATCACCCATCCTGAGCAGCATGCTGGAGACAGTGGGAAGAAATAACTCCCTTTTAACAGGAACAAACCTCCAGATGAGCCAGAACTGGGCTCAGAATGGACGACTATCTTCCTCGACTGGCCAGAGTTGGAAAGGACAGGACAGAGACAAACTGATTGATAGGCCCAGGTATGGTTTCTATGGTCTAGATGTGGTTAATGGTCCAGGTCTAGTTTCTATGGTCCAGGTTTAGTTTCTACGGTCCAGGTATAGTTTATATGGTTCAGGTGTAGTGCCCATGATTCAGGTGCAGTTTTTTATGGTCCAGGTGTAGTTTCTGGTTCAGATGTAGTTTCTATGGTTCAGGTATAGTTTTCATGGTTTCCATGCCAAAACCATAATGTGAGTTCATCAAAGTGAAACCATACCGCATCGGTCGAGGCTCGAGTTAACAACTGCTGCCACTGGTGCTGTTGACAAACAGGGTGCCAGCGGATATTGTGCTACTGTTAGTGGAAGACGATGAGGAGGGAAACATGTCAGGAGACAGAGGGAGAAGAGGAAAGTCAAGAATGTAGAACTGAGGGTTGCAACTCTAAATGTGGGGACAATGACAGGCAAAGATAGAGAGCTGGCTGACATGATGCAGAGAAGGAAGGTAGATGTTTTGTGTCCAAGAGACCAAGTGGAAGGGCAGCAAGGCTCGCAGCATTGAAGCAGGGTTCAAACTGTTTTACCATGGTGTGGATAGAAAGAGAAATCGAGTAGAGGTGGTCCTGAAGGAGGAGTTGGCAAAGATTGTAATAGGGGTGAAGAGAGTGTCAGATAGGGTGATGTGCCTTTACGTAGAAGAAGAAGGTCTGGTTCTAAACATTGTCAGTGGTTATGCTCCACAGGTTGGATGTGATGGGGCGGAGAAAACACGAGACATTTATTTTCTAAACATAACGTCCCAGTGGCTTTTAAACCCCAAATGCATTACGGCAAAGACTGGTTCATCCCAAAGATCCAGTCCCCCGGCACAAACAGAGTAATGTTGTGTATGCTGTTCAGTGTCAGGAGGGCTGTGATCAGTCTTACATCAGGGAAACTAAACAGCCACTAGCCAAAAGGATGGCCCAGCACAGAAGAGCAACATCATCAGGCCAGGACTCTGCGATCTAAACTCATCTCCAGACAAGCGGTCACTCGTTCAGGGATGAAGATGTTCACATCCTGGATAGAGAGGAACAGTGGTTTGAGAGAGGAGTAAAGGAGGCCATCTTTTTGAAAATAAACTGTCCATCATTAAACAGGGGTGGAGGCCTCCGGGTTCAACTGTCCCCCTCGTACAATGCTGTTATTGCTAGTATCACTCAGCCCCCTGTAAATAGCAAACAGCCATCAGGGTGCTAAGGATCCATCGTTAGGCTGAAGGTCCTCCTTGATCATGTGAGCAGCTGGTTTTGGCTGTCAGCAGCAAACTGGTTGATCCACTACGAGAAGGTGCTATTTATAAGACTGAGCTGAATACAGCACCTCAGACTGAAGAAGTCTTTCGGATGAAAAACGAAACGTTTCTACAATTTTTTTAATTAGTTAGGTTTTTTTTGTGTGTTTTTTTTTTAATGTCCAGAGGACCAGATTTAACTTTTTTAGACGGGAATGTTGATGAGCCATACATGAAGCTCTGGGAAAGAGTTGTGGAAGCAAGACTTATGGCTCCAGTATACTTGCGCGGACCTTTTTCTGTGTGGACTCGACACACACTGTCCACAGTCGGTTGAGACTTCATACTCAAGTGTCCATCTTGAGCGGCTGTAGACCAGCTCTGCAGACAAGGGGCGTTTACCTTCGGGACAAATTGAGGTCGTCAATTGGTCATTTGCTGACACGCCTACTGTATTAATTAACAGGTTGCAAAAAAAAAAAAAAAGAGCTGGCAGCCCCAGCCACAGCGGTGTTCTGTGTGAATATGTTGATAATAAAAAGTTCTTCAAAAAAAACAAGGAGCACTGGCCCTGCAGCCCACACATTAGATCAGCCCACCAGGAAATCTCCAGATCATCCCGCAGACACGCTGAACCTGATTTTATTTTGCTCGTGACAAATTCCTTCATTTCTCACGATTTCAGTCATGGCATCAACGGAGGAGGAGGTAGACATTGCTTGCCTTTTG